TCTGGGAGATGGTGCACAGCCAGTAACTGTAGGAGATGGTGAACAGCCAGTCACCGTAGGAGATACTGAACAGCTAGTCACTGTGAGAGATGGTGAACAGCCAGTCATTGTGGGAGATGGTGTACAGCCATTCATTGTGGGAGATGGTGAACAGCCAGTCACTTTTGAGGATGGTGAACAGTCATTCACTGTAGGAGATTATGAACAGCCAGTTACTGTGGGAGATGGTGAACAGCCAGTCACTGTAGGAGATGGTGTAGATCCAGTCACTCTGAGAGATGGTGAACAGCCAGTCACTCTGGGAGATGGTGAACAGCCAGTCACCTTAGGAGAAGGTGAACAGTCAGTCACTTTGGGAGATGGTGTACAGTCAGTTCCTGTAGGATGTGGTGAACAGCCAGTCACTGTAGGAGATAGTAAACAGCCAGTCACTGTGGGAGATGGTGAACAACCAGTCACTGTAGGAGATGGTGAGCAGCCAGTCACTGTGGGAGATGGTGAACAGCAAGTCACTGGGGGAGATGGTGAACAGCCAGTCACTGTGGGAGATGGTGAACAACCAGTCACTGTAGAAGATGGTGAGCAGCCAGTCACTGTGGGAGATGGTGAACTGCCAGTCACTTTTAGAGATGGTGAACAGCAAGTCACTGCGGGAGATGGTGAACAGCAAGTCAGTGTGGGGGATGGTGAACAGCAAGTCACTGTGGGAGATGGTGAATATCCAGTCGCTGTGGGAGATGGTGCACAACCTTTTACTGTAGGAGATGGTGAGCAGCCAGTCACTGTAGGAGATGATGAACAACCAGTCACTCTAGGAGATAGTGTACAGCCAGTCACTGTGGGAGATGATGAACAGCAAGTCACTGTGGGAGATGGTGAACAGCAAGTCACTGTGGGAGATGATAAAAACCCAGTCACTGTGGAAGATGGTGAACAGCCAGTCACTGAGGGAGATGGTAAACAGCCAGTCACTGTGGGAGATGGCGAACAGCCAGTCGCTGTTGGAGATAATGAACAGCCAGTCACTGTGGGAGATGCTGATCAGGCAGTCACTCTGGGAGATGGTGCACAGCCAGTAACTGTAGGAGATGGTGAACAGCCAGTCACCGTAGGAGATACTGAACAGCTAGTCATTGTGAGAGATGGTGAACAGCCAGTCATTGTGGGAGATGGTGTACAGCCAGTCATTGTGGGAGATGGTGAACAGCCAGTCACTTTTGAGGATGGTGAACAGTCATTCACTGTAGGAGATTATGAACAGCCAGTTACTGTGGGAGATGGTGAACAGCCAGTCACTGTAGGAGATGGTGTAGATCCAGTCACTCTGAGAGATGGTGAACAGCCAGTCACCTTAGGAGAAGGTGAACAGCCAGTCACTTTGGGAGATGGTGTACAGTCAGTTCCTGTAGGATGTGGTGAACAGCCAGTCACTGTAGGAGATAGTAAACAGCCAGTCACTGTGGGAGATGGTGAACAACCAGTCACTGTAGGAGATGGTGAGCAGCCAGTCACTGTGGGAGATGGTGAACAGCAAATCACTGGGGGAGATGGTGATCAGCCAGTCACTGTGGGAGATGGTGAACAACCAGTCACTGTAGGAGATGGTGAGCAGCCAGTCACTGTAGGAGATGGTGAACAACCAGTCACTTTAGGAGATGGTGAGCAGCCAGTCACTGTAGGAGATGATGAACTGCCAGTCAATTTTAGAGATGGTGAACAGCAAGTCACTGCGGGAGATGGTGAACAGCAAGTCAATGTGCGAGATGGTGAACAGCCAGTCGCTGTAGGAGATGGTGAACAGCTAGTCACTGTGGGAGATATTGAACAGCCACTCACTGTGGGAGATGTTGAACAGCCAGTCGCTGTGGGAGATGGTGAACAGCCAGTCGCTGTGGGAGATGGTGCACAAACTTTTACTGTAGGAGATAGTGAGCAGCCAGTCACTGTAGGAAGATGATGAACAACCAGTCACTCTAGGAGATAGTGTACAGCCAGTCGCAGTGGCGAACAGTCAGTCGCTGTTGGAGATAATGAACAGCCAGTCACTCTGGGAGATGGTGCACAGCCAGTAACTGTAGGAGATGGTGAACAGCCAGTCACCGTAGGAGATACTGAACAGCTAGTCACTGTGAGAGATGGTGAACAGCCAGTCATTGTGGGAGATGGTGTACCACCAGTCATTGTGGGAGATAGTGAACAGCCAGTCACTTTTGGAGATGGTGAACAGTCATTCACTGTAGGAGATTATGAACAGCCAGTTACTGTGGGAGATGGTGAACAGACAGTCACTGTGGGAGATGGTGTAGATCCAGTCACTCTGGGAGATGGTGAACAGCCAGTCACCTTAGGAGAAGGTGAACAGCCAGTCACTTTGGGAGATGGTGTACAGTCAGTTCCTGTAGGATGTGGTGAACAGCCAGTCACTGTAGGAGATAGTAAACAGCCAGTCACTGTGGGAGATGGTAAACAACCAGTCACTGTAGGAGATGGTGAGCAGCCAGTCACTGTGGGAGATGGTGAACAGCAAGTCACTGGGGGAGATGGTGATCAGCCAGTCACTGTGGGAGATGGTGAACAACCAGTCACTGCAGGAGATGGTGAGCAGCCAGTCACTGTAGGAGATGATGAACTGCCAGTCACTTTTAGAGATGGTGAACACACAGTAGCTGTGGGATATTGTGAACGGCCAGTCACTGTGGGAGATTGCGAACAGCAAGTCACTGTGGGAGATGGTAAACACCCAGTCACTGCGGGAGATGGTGAACAGCAAGTCAGTGTGGGGGATGGTGAACAGCAAGTCAATGTGCGAGATGGTGAACAGCCAGT